GGTGTGGCGGGCACAGAGGGTGGATCTGGGGCCCCCATCTTGGCAGGAGTCCTGGAGCTGCTGCTCGTGGCTTGTGGACAGCAGGGTCTTTCTGTTCGTGAGACCCATGGAGGGAGGTTGGGGTCAGGCTAAAGTGGTCTTTGCCAAAATCACGAGATGGCGAATCTCCTTGGGCATGAGGTCTGAGGTCCCAGGTGGCATAGGGCAGGGATAGCCGGAGTGCAGATGACCTGCTCTGGGCCCCTGCTCCCTCGGTGACCCATGGACTTCATTGCAGACAGCCTGAGGGTGCAGGAGGATGAGGACAACTGTGCCGTCATCCAGTCAGCCCGGGACGCGCTAAAGCTCGTCCAGAACAAATACCTGCCAGCTGTGTGTTCCTGGGTCCAGGTGAGCGACTCCTTGTCAGGCCCGCAGGTGGGCGTGCTGGGTGTGGGGGTGCCAGGCCTGTGTTGTGACATGCCCCCTTGTGGCAGCTCTTCACCCGTGCAGGGATGCACGGCAGGCACTTAGAGGCCACCATCAACTTGAAGGCAGAACTGGAAAGTGTCCTGAGGAGGTGCCGGGAGCTGGGCATTGAGCCCGAGGGGACGCACAGGCCGGAGGTGAGTGTGGCAGCCCCCGTCCGAGCTCAGCCCTCTCAGCAGGCCCCGCTGGGCTCCGGAATGTTCCTGTTCCTTCCTCTCAGCCCTGGCTGTCCCTGCAGATAGACGGTCTGGCCCAGGGCCCAGGAAGGAGGGCGTGGGGGTCCTGTTTGGACAGGGAGCCCCTGGGTCCTGCAGGAGGCACAGCCATGGGCCTGGCTGAGGCCCCACTACACCTGATGCGCCTGAGCACCGCGTGGGGCCTCCTGTGAGCTCAGCACTAACCCTCAGGCCTCAGGGGTCTCGTCCTCTCATCCACATCGTAGCCGAGGACGTGGGAGCCCGTGCACCTGCAGGGCACAGATAGGACGTCTCCCTCAAGGCTTACGCAGTTGGCAGTGCCCCAGCCTGGGGAGGTGGGCACCTCAGCCCTTCCGAAGAAGGCCCCACGGAGGAGCTCCCACATGGCTGAGTGGGGTGAATGTGGGGACCGGGGCCACTTGGGGAGGACACTCAAGGCAGCCGTCTGCTGGGCACGTGACACCCACAGGCTTTGTAGGTTGTGGTTCTTGAGGGAGGAGCTGGTCCTGAGCGCTAGTCCCTCAGCAGGGCAGGCCTGGGGGGCACTTGGTGACGGCATGGGATGAAGCCCCCCACGCCCCACCGGGACACCAGGCACCCAAGCGGCAGCCCCGAGCCTCAGAGATGTAGCCTGTCAGCCCCTCTGTCGGGCCTGCGTCCAGACCTAGCCCTTAATGCTGAAAGCCCGGGAGCTGTGTCCTCCGTGGGGCCTGCCAAGTAGGAGGGGACCTGCTGGATGCAGATCTCATCCGCTTCTGCTGACACCAGAGTGTGCCCCTTCCCCAGGCCCTGGGCCCGGCCGCAGCTTTTCATCCGCAGGAGCCTGCAGGGGAGGGTGCTGTGGATCTGGGGTGGGAAGAACGCTGTCCCTTGCTGAGGAGAGGAACAAGTTCAGAGCCACTCAGGCCTNTAAAATGGCCATGGGGACATGAGTGGACAGGTGTGGCTGTGTCCCAGTACAACTTACAGGCACTGACACTGAAATCTCATAATTTTCACTTGTGAAGCATTTTTCTTTCTATTTGTGTCAACCATTTAAATTCGTATGTTGTGAAGTATTTTCTCACGATTTGTGTTAACCAGTGAAAAATATAAAAACTGCCCTTGGCTTGTGGGTTTTAAGAAACAGGCGGAAGCCAATTTGGCTGAGGGCAGTGGTTTGTCCACCCTGCTCTGGAGGAGGGTGAATGCGGGTTGGGAGAGGGCCTGCGTCCCTGCCACTTGTGAGTCTGGGCCGCACACAGAGCATTTAACTACCGTGTCCTTCGGCGTCGGGCGCTCGGTAAGGACGGCTGGCACCCCCAGGGCTTCGGAGGAGCAGCTGAGCCACGCCTACCACCTGCTGATGGCCCAGCTGAGCCAGGAGCATGCCGAGATCCGCCTCTCCGCCTTCCAGGTCGTGGACGAGCTCTTTGCCCGGTCTCACCAGTTCAGGATGCTGGTTGTTTCCGACTTCCAGGAGTTCCTGGAGCTCACACTGGGCACCGACCACAAGCAGCCACTGCCACCCCCCAGGGAGGTGGCCCAAAGGCTGAGGCAGGCCGCCACCCAGGCCGTCCAAGGGTGGAATGAGAAGTTTGGCGCGGCCTATAAGAAGCTCGCCTTGGGCCACCACTTCTTGAGACACAACCAACAGGTGCGCTGGCCTTGGCGGTGCTGTCTGGGTGCACAGCCTCGCTTGGCCCCTTGGCCGCTGGGCCAGGGTTGTGGGTTACCAGCAGGTGGGGGCCTGGGGGCTCCCGAGGTGGGAGGGCAGCTTTGTGAGGAGGAGCATAAGCTCGTGCCCAGGTGTGGGTGGGGCTGAGCCTGTGGGCCTGGTTTCCACAGTGTATAAATGACAGGAAAGGGGGAGCCGGCTTCTCAGAGGCAGCCCTCTGGGATCCGTCCCACCCTTGGGCTCTGTGCTCACCTGGGTCTGCGTGGATAAAATTCACCAGAGCTGACTGGCCACCCTCCCCAACTTGTTCCGGCAGCTCAGGCCTTGCATGGTGCTTGTGGCCTGTCCCTGGTTGTGGCCTGTAGGTGCCAGCTCTCCCACCACACATTGGGGGTCCGCGTTTAGGTGGTGGTCTCAGGCCCCTGGGTCCACAGCAGCCTCCCTCCCGAGCTGACGGGAGCGGACACGCTGCTCTCCCACCCGCGG